CTGGACAGCTCAGAAAGTGAAAAAATACCTCTTAACTGTATGTAAAGTGTTTAACTTCACACATACTAGGAAAAATTAAAATAAAAATTATTCTGAGATATATTCTACCCATCAGATTGACAAAAAAGCCAAAAGCTTTGACCGTAGACTCTTTTGACAAGGTTGTCAGGGGGAAAAAACAACTCTCCAACACTGCTATCAAGAATGCAAATTACTTAACTCCAGAGAAAGAGTAATTGGCAATTTCTAATAGAACTATGTATGCATTTATGTTTTGGCCTAGAAATGCCACTTCTAGGAATTCATCCTAAAGACATGCATCTAATCATACAAAAAATACATCTGCACAGATTATGCATTGCAGCATGATTTGTAATTGCAAGATATTAGAAACTGCCTAAATATTCAAGTATGGGAGAGCAGTTGAATAAACTGGGCTATCTACTGCGGTTGGGTATTCTGCAGCTGTTAAAAAACATGCAGACTTTTTATTTTTTTAATGAACTGATATAGAATGCTCTCCAGGAGATGTTAACTTTCAAACAATTTAAAAGGTAAGTGCAAAAGACGTTATAAATTATTCAGCTTTAAAAGGAAACAGTATTATGACAAACGCTACAACATGGTGGTAGCTTAAGGACATTATGCTAATTGACATAAGCCAGACACAAAAGGACACATATTGTATGATTATGCGCATATGAGGTACCTAGAATAAGCAAATTCCTGGAGACAGAAGACAGAATGGTGTTTGTCGAGGGCTGGGGAGAAGGGAGGAATGGGGTGCTATTGTTTAATGAGTACAGTGTTTCAATCTGGAATGATGAAAAGGTTCTGAAAATGGATGGGGGCGATGGTTGCAAACAATGTGAATGTAGTCATTGCCACAGAACTGTACACTTAAAAATAATTAAAATGATACATTTTGTTATGCATTTTACCACATTTAAAAATATATTTAAAAGAACTTATATAGCATGCTACATTTTATGTAAGATAAAAGAAAAAATAGGAGAATGTGCATATATCTGCATATATTTACAGAAATAATTACAGAAATGTATTAGGGCTCTCCAGAGAAGCACAATCAACGGGATACATCTGGAGATATATATATTTATTTTATTTTATTTTTGAGACAGAGTTACACTCTTGTTGCCCAAGCTGGAGTGCAATGGCACGATCTCGGCTCACCTCCACCTCCACCTCCCGGGTTCAAGTGATTCTCCTGCCTCAGCCTATCGAGTAGCTGGGATTACAGGTATGCACCACCACACCTGGCTGATTTTGTATTTTAGTAGAGATGGGGTTTCTCCATGTTGGTCAGGCTGGTCCCGAACACCAGACCTCAGGTGATCTGACCGCCTCGGCCTCCCAAAGTGCTGGGATTACAGGCGTGAGCCACCACGCCCAGCCTATATCTGGATATTTAAGAGGAGATTTATTATGGGAATTGGCTCATGCAGTTTTGGAGGTTAAGTCCCATAATATGCATCTGAAAGCTGGAGAACCAGGGAAGCCAGAGGTGTAGTTAAGCCTGAGTGGGGCTGAAGGCCTGGGAACTAGGGGAGATGATAGTGTAACTTTCAATCTGAGGCCAAAGGGCTGGGAGGCAGAAGGAGGTCAGGGTGCAGGTACAACACGTATCTGCTGGTGAGAGACTCTGTCTGAGTCCGAAGGACTAATACTAGGAGTTCCAATGTCCAAGAATAGAACAAAGATCTTCCAACTCAGAAAGACTGAATTCATGCTTCCTCCATCGTTTTGTTCTATCTAGGCCCTCAGTGGATTATATAATATCACCCCCATTGATGAGGGCAACTTTTCTTAGTCTGCTGATTAAAATGCAAATTTTTCCTGGAAATATCTTCACACATGTACCCAGCATAATGTTTACCAGCTATCTGGGGATCCCTTAGCGCAGTCAAGTTGACACATAAAATTAACCATCTCAAGAAAGAATAAACCAGAAAACGAGCTGATTACCCAGGAGAAGTGGAGAGAATGAGGTAGAAAGAACATCATACGTACTCAAAAATTAATGTTATATGTACTCCAAAGTAAAATTAAATCTATAGGAATGATGAAGGGAAAAACAACATTTCAAGCAGGCTAAAACAAATGAACCTATATCATTACAGGGAAACTGGGGGAAAGGGAGGGAAGGAAGAGGAGAGGAAGGACACGTAGGAATCAAATTGAGCAAAATATTAACAATAAGTGAATCTGGGCAAAATGTACAATTAGGATTTTTGTACATCATTTCTTTTTGAATATTTTTATTAATCCAAACTATTTTCCCAATTAGACAGGTAAAAAAGAAAAAAATTTAAAAGACCAACAACCAAAACAAAACAATACTGCGGAGACCTGGCTTCTGCTCTTGCTCTCAGCCTGGGGTTTTGCCTGGCAGCAGGGTGGCTTTGTGTGTGAAATCCTAGCAAGGCTTCTCTGATGACACCCGCCCACACTGCTACTGCAGGAGACCTCCACTTTTAGCAATGACTGTTATTACAGAACAATGCCTGGAGACATTTAGACTTCTAGAAATTTTGTTGTCTTTCTTTTGACAACTCAGCTCTCACTCTAAGAACAGGTGAGGCAAAGATTAGGAAACAAAGAAAATAAAAAGAAACCAAGAAAAAACAATCCAGATGCTTTCTTGAGCTTTTGCTCCATTTCTCTGCATAGATTACATCATTCACATGTCCAAATCAAAGTTACTTTAACCCAAAATAAATCAGTGAGTGATTTATGGTATTTTTGCATATGGAAAGAAACAAAGCAATGTTTTTCCAAAATATGTCTTGTTTTCACTTTGTTCCACAATGCATTATAGTAATATTGTAATATGTCTTAATACCTACATTTTGAGCACCTACTTTAAACACTTTATGTCACTTAATCTTCAGAATCACCCTATACATTATGTATTAGTATTATTATCCCATTTTATAGATAAAGAAATGGAAGCTAAAATATACCAACTCCTTGTTCAAGGTCAAAAGCAAAACCAGGAGTGTCTCATTTGGAAGACTACACCTTCATCTATTGCACCATTTTCCCTTCCAACCATTTTAGTTAAAAGAAAAAAGCAACGTCTCACTAACTCAAACCAGTTTCCACTTCTACAGAACATTCTAGTTCTTTTGATTTGGGACATTCTGCATTTTTATCTAGATTTTGGTTCACAGAATTGCTCCCAAATAAAATTTTAAAATATTAACATTGTTTAGTTAAACAGAGTGAGATTAAAAGTGGATATAGTTTCACCAATGGAGAAAACAATGTTTATTATTGTAGACTTCTATTTTCTACTTCTTTCTTTCTGCCAATGCATGAATGCCTGGACACACACACACACACACACACACACACACACACAATTGACCCATAGCTTGGCTCGACATCATTAGACTCCTTTCTTCTACAAAGATCATACTGTTAAAATCAGAACTGAAGGTTTACATGAGCACAATTTCAAACTGAAAATAATGGGCTCCTTTGCACACCCATTAAATAAGAGCAAATATATGAAAACAGAGTGTCTTGAATTTTATAGGTGCTGGATAATTGTGAGCTGATCCCTCTGATCTTCTCCTGGTAGTTTCTCTACTTGGATGACGGTCAAGTTCTGATAATATTCTGATGACAGAAGAATGGGTTTTGAGCCTACAAATTCACCCACCCACATTGCCCCTCTCATCTACAGGAACCTTCCATGCTTTTTCCAAAATTGTGTCCCAAATAAAGAACAGCAAAAAAAAAAAAAAAAAAGTTTGTTTTTTATTTTGTTTTTTGCTTGTAAGGACATCCAAATATTTTATCCAGGAATCATAATCACCATCAGTGCAATTAGGTATCTATTTAAACTTCTGGCTGTGATAAATGACAACTGAGGTAATTTCAAGATGAGTCATCCCAAGTTGCCTGCAAATACAAATCTCAAGGTGCCACCTGGAAGAGCTGTGCTGTCCAAACTGAGAGATGTGGTTTTAAAAGGCCAGCCAAGCTCCCATTCATTCATGAATCCACGCATTCATGGATCTCCACAGGGGAATAAGTCACTCAAAGCATTCCAGAGGCTAGGCTGCTCTAGCCACAAGAACGTTTTGCTTAGAATTCTGGATGCTAGACTTTCACTGAACCGTTAAAAATGGTACCAACAGTGTCGTGTGTCTCAAATAGAGCACAGAAGCAGCTGCTCCTCTTGGAAGGGACCCTGGCTTTCCAGTTGACCAGTAGTCACCACTCAGTATTGTCTCCCACAAGCTCACAAGTTCACTTCATTCATTGTTCTGTGTCACCTTCCTGGCTCATGGGGGCATCTGACCTATATTTCAATGCCTTACGAAACTCTGATGAACAAGCAGATTCCAGAAACACATACTTAACACATAGTATTTGCTAGGCATTCTGAGAAATAATACAAAAGACCCGGCTCCTATGTAACAGGAAAGAAAGCTGACATATATAAATTACAGCAACAGAAGATAAAAGTCAAAAAGAATGGCAAGAGAGACACAAAATTATTGAAAATTTTTTTTTCACTAGAGAGGAATATTGGGAAAAGATTCATGCACGCAGTGCCATGAAAGTCAGGCCCTGAAAGACAACACAGATTTAGAGATGCAAGGAGAGAGAATAGATGCACAGACTGGAGGAAACAATCATGGAAACAATGACGAGGGTTGCTCAGGAAATACTGAGATGCTGCAGCTTTCAGAGACACAGTATACAGGAGAGACTGAAGGAAGGCAAGAGGGGGAAGCTGAGTTGGAACTGATGGTAAAGATCGTGAAACGCCAGGCCAGTAGGCCAATCTTATTCCATATGCATTGGGGGAACATTGAGCTGGGTGTGACATGACCTGAGCTCTGTCTTAGAAAGGATTTTGCGGCAGAGAGGAGAGTAATTTAAAGGGAGACACAGATGGCCCAGAAAGAATGATTAGGAGATGATATTAGTTTATCACTGCTATACAAATGACCACAACCACAGTGGCTTAAAACACATTTATTGCTCTATCATGCTGGAGGTCATAATTCTCAAAATGAAGGTGTCAGCAGGGCAGCATCCCTGCCAGGGCTCCAGGAGAGAAATCCTTTTCTTGCCTCTTCCGGCTTCTAGAGGCTATCTTCACTCCTTGGCTCAGAGTAACTTCCTCCATCTTCAAGGCCAACAGAGTCAAATGTCTCCCTCTCTTCTTCTTTCTCCCTCTCCCTTCCTTTCACCTCTGCATCCACTGTCATATATGTGTCTTGTTTCTCATCCTCCTGTCTCCCTATTTTGATTATATTTAGCACTTGCTTGGATAATCCATAATAATTTCCCCATCTCGAAATCCTTACCTTCAGCACACCTGCAAAGTCTCCTGTGCCAGGAGACAGGTCCCAAGGATTAGGATATAGATACTGTTGGGGGCCAAGGATTCCGTCTCCAGAGACAAAAGCCACAGACCAGAACGAGGCAGTGCTATCTGCAGTAAGGCAAAAACAGTACACACAGGGATGGGGCTCAGCCCCATTGCCTCCTTTCCCTCTGGTCTGTACCTAGAGGTAGACAGAGAAGATGAGGGCTCACAGTTGTGTATACTGTATCCAACAGGACTCTGGTTAAAAATAGCAGGAACACCACTCGAATGCCTTCAGCAAAATGTGGTAATTAATCAACTATTAATCAGCTCACAGTTGATTAATGAATTAATCAGAATGAATCTGTTGTCACTGGGAAGACTAGGGTTAGCGCATCCCTTGGTTCTTTGATTAGACTATCAGCAAGCTTGTCTCCTCTCTCAATGTGTCTTTCCTTGTATGGGCTTCATTCTCAAGCAAACCCTCTCCATCGGTGATGTTTAGGAGCTGCGTATCTTCACTGACACAGCTCCACCACCCCAATAGAGAGGTGCCACATTCTTCCCAACAATCCCAACAGAAGGCTCCTGCTGAGCCTCACTGGGTAAACTTAGGGCACGTGCCCATCTCTGACCTAATCGGTCTTATCAGCAGGAGAGAATTTGCTGACTGGCCAGGTCTGTCACAAGCTCACTCCCGAAGCAGGGAGGTGGCGAAGAATCACCCACTATTTACAGGCACTGCTTAGAGGAGGAAAGACATTCTTAGTAGAACATTATGGTGGTGTGATCTGAAAAGGAAAGGAAAAGAAGCCATAAACAGCAGATACCTACTTATTGGACAACAGAAGAAACAAAACAAGATAAAACCCTTCCCAAGGGTTCTTTCCTGGGCGCTCAATTCTAATTCTCTTCCACCTGTCTGTGCCTAAATAGAGAGGGGAGCCTTAGGCACATCAGGTGGTCTTGTGCCTGCATCCCACTGCCTTGTTTGGGATTACAGTTTCCTGTTAGCCTATTTAATTATCTCAGTTCATATGCTTTTGGCAGGAGTTTAAAATAAATTTACAACTGAGTACTTTCATTCCAGCCAAGCCACAAGACCTGCTGACAACTCTTTAATTGAAAAAGTGTTTTCAATTTTCAAAGAGACCTGGGATTATATTAAAAAATGATCTGGCTCTTCTGTCATTGCCATTACGCTGTATCACCTGACAGGTCCATAAACATTGATTTGATGTTAAAAATGTTTGATACTGTTGGCCAGGAGCTACATTATTCATACACAAACAAATACATACTTATATCAATAATGTATACAAATAGATTTCTTCCTCTAAATTATATTTAGTGACTTAGGAGTTGGTCCATAAGACACATTCGGTAATAAAAAAATTTTAATGTTGCTGTTAAGGATGTGAGGAGACAGTTTGGTCAATGACGGTGTACCCATTAAATGACATATTATTCAGCAGTTAAAAAGCCACTTCCCAAAGCTTACCAGAAAATGTTTCTGAGCTATATTTTATACTTAAAATGCTGATAAATATGAAAATATATGTATTAATATATGACAAGGCTCAAAGTTAACATGTTGAAAAGGATGTACAATGAACGTTGTTCTACCACTCCTGTCATTTGGCCCCTTAGTTCCTTGCCCAAACAATTGTTTCCTTTTTGTGTGTGTCCTAACAATGTGTTTACATAAGCAAATATATTTATACATGTCTGTATTTATGGGTACATACGTTTATATATGTATGTGTATTTGTATGTTATAAAATTATATTTATATAGACAAAGGTGACCTTAAGACAACACACGGCTATGCCCTGTGCAGGTCCACTTACAAGTGAGTTTTTTTAAATAAATATATTACAAAATGATTTGGAGATTTTCAGCAATCTGGAAACCTCACAAACCATGTCACCAATAAATAGCAAAACAAAATAAGAAAAAGTTAGGTATGTCATGAATGCATAAAATATACATATATACCAGTCTATTTATGTGTTAATCAACTGTTGATGTTATCAGTAAGGCTGTCAGTCAACAGAAGGCTGTTGGTAGCTAGGTTTTGAAAGAGTTGAAAATTACGTGCAGATTTACTGCCATGTGGGGAGTTGGTGCTTCTGATCCCTGCATTGGTCAAGGATCACCTGTATCAGTATGAGTAGTTACATGTGTGTGCATTCTGAAATACTATGGTAATAGAAGAAAAGGAAAGTGTGGAAGAACAGATATGATTGGTTCCAATTTGTGTGAAAGAGGAAAAATCTAAATATATGTGGGCGTGTAGATATAGTTGCTATTTAGAAGGACAAACAGGAATGGCATAAGAGAGAAAAAAATAGTTTCAGCTGTTTACATTTTGCAATTTTTCAAATGTCTGTTACTTGCACATATGAAAGTTTTAATAAAAAATCTATTTTTCAGGGCTTTGATATTCATGACATTTCTTCCACTTATAAACACACAGTGTCTTTCTCTTTCCTAGAGTCTGGCTGGCCTGGAACGTGCCATGACTGTAGAATACAGTAAGAGGGAGACTGTACCAGCTCCAAGCCAGCTTTTCTGATACCTACAGCTTCTGGTTCTTCTGGAGGAGAAGTCAGCCACTAGGTAAGAAGTCAACTCACACTGAGGCTACCATGCAGGGAGGAAGCCTAAGCTAGCCCGGTGGGGAGGCCACATGGTGGCCAACCGAGGAACCCAGTGGACAGGGCAAATTGAGACCCCAGACATGAAACCAGCTGAGTCATCCCAGTCCTTTGTATGATTACAACCACGGCTCCCATTATTATGGCTCAAAGATGGTCCATATCCCCTCTCCCCTGAGCAAATTCTCACCCAAAGAATCATGAGGAACTAAAATGGTTGTTCTTTCACATTACTATGGTTAGAGGTGGTTTGTTACATTACGACAGACAACTGAAGCAAGCATGCAGAGCCTTACTTTCCGGAAATTGAGAAGGATAGTGCAGGTTTGTGTGGATGAGAAGCAAACACAAGTATTTATGTCACCTTTGTGGCTGAGAAGTGTTGCAGGTACGATTTTAAAAGCCCCATGGATAAACAGCTCATGTAGGTCCAAGTCCAGGCTTTGAATGCCCTACGGTTCCCTTGTTGGAAGCACCAGCCTCAACGTGAATAAAGCAAATGTACTGATCACCCTGTATGCCATTGGGTGACACAGAAGGTTTTAACAAGAGAGCATCTCCTCTACCTCACTGTGAACTAAAGAAAGACAAATCATGACTCCTTGGAACTTCATTTTCCCCTAGTATGGAGACGTTCTTATCCTGGGACAACTCCAATGTCTTACTGAAAGCATCAAATAAGATAACTCTGGGTGAAAGTGTTTTATACACTGTAAAGTGTGGTACAGACCTGGTGACTTTCCAGATCCTATTTTGAAGAAAAAACAATTATTCAGACCTTGAATTACAGGAGAACTAACAAATAGGAGGCAGGCTGGCATAAGACCTAAGATTGTGTGTGGCACAGAGCAACTGTCTGGACTGACACCTTGGCTTTTCTATTTATTTCCCGCGTGGCCTGATGAATGTGACTTTATTTCTCTGTAACTTACTTTGCTTATCTATAAAATAAGGATGTTAATACCCACCTCTCATGGTGCCGTAAAACTTACATAAGCAAATACCTTTGAAGTGCTTCAAACAACATCTGGCACATAGCAAGTGTGTTGCTGCTATTTTGATTATAATAATAATGTAAAGCTTTCCATATCTTTATGTTCTTCCAAACACTTTTGTTTTGATGAGAGAGTGGTTGAGTCATAACATTTGAAACTTGGAATGACCTTACTATTGATTCATCTAACCCAACCCTCTCCCGGTATCATCAATAGCCTCATCAATCATCCCTCACGCTTGCACATTTTCTGAAATGGGAACTCACTATCTCCCTGGTAGCCTCTATCCTTGTTGTGGAGCTCTGATAATTTGCTTCAAGTAAGTGTCCAACACTGAAGTTGCTGAGTCAGATGGCATATTCACTCACAAGCCTTTCAATTCTAGTTCCCAATGTGTCCTTAAGAAAAGTGATATTCATACACAGTACTACTCATAAAGTGACCAATTCAACACGACTTGAAGAAAGGAGAGTTGTATTAAAAGCCACTTTCCAGTTTGAGCAACAAAACAGTAACTATTCCTCATTCCTATTTTATATTCATTACAGAACTAATGAAGCTGAGTATTTTTTCTCAAATGTTGACTGCCTTACTTTTTCCATTTTGACTTGCCTATTAATGTCCTTTATCTATTTACTTGATGCATTTGCTTTTACCTTGATTAATTTATAAATTTCCTTAAACATACTCATTCTTTGTTAGAAAGTTTGAAAATAGTTTCCCCAACATGTCATTTACATTTTAGTTTTGATTTTGGTCTAATGTGATAAACAGATATTTTAAACTGTTTTGTAGCTAAGTTATTTTTTATGGTTTATTCTTTAGCTTGTATGATACAAAAATCTCCCTTGCCTATACATCACACCAATATTCACTTCCTTGTTTTTCTCTGCTCATTATAAGGGATTTCATTTTGACATGACGACTAATGCATTTTGTGGCACTAAAACCCATGAGGTTATCCTTCTCTCATTCCAATAAGACCAGGGGGTATTTATTGCTTCACAAAGGAAGGGCAGTTAAAAGGGAAATAAGACACAGAAATATGGAGTGTGTGTCACTGAGAAGGGCCCCGCTTTCAGCCATCTATCTTCCCTCAACAATCCTCAGCCTTCACCTGGCATGTCCCAGGACAGGAACAGAGTCCTGCTGTCTTTCCAAGGGAATGTCATGGAGGGGTACCAAGGCTTCAATAATTTGTTCTAAAAATGGTTTTGGAGAAAGATGTCATGATGTGTTTTTAGTTAGTTGCACCTGAGACAGCTACAGACTTTAATCTCATCAAGTGCAGTGACTGGAGCAGCCAAATATTTTTCATAAGAAAAATGGGCAAGAAATGACTGCAAGAAAGCCCAGGAGGTAGATGCTTTCTCATCAAGGCAAAGACAATCCTCGGCACTGTCTAAGCTGTCACATAATATATAGACGTAAGTCCTGTACCATTACCAGAGACACAGGGATGACGGAAAAAACTTAAAATTAAAAAAAAAAAAGATTAAAAGAGCCTCATCACGTCAACACCTATCAAGATGTCAGCCTTGTGAGACTCAACAGAGAACCTGGTCATGTGTGCCTGGACTTCTGGCCCCCAGAACCATGAGCTTATAAATTGTAAGCCTCTAAATTTATGGTAAGATTTTAGGCAGCATAGAAAACTAATATGTAAGAGTTATTTGATAATGGCTTGACAAGTTGAGGAAGCATTTGCTGTACATCTCACATGAGCTGCTTTAGTAGAGCAATACCCAGCACTGTCTGATCTCTCTCTCTCTTTCTCTTTCTCAAACACACACACACATAACTGATGCAATGCGTGTGTGATGTAACTCCAGTACAGAAAAAGAAGGTCTACCTATTTAGAAGCAAGCCCACCTGGAATCCAGATGTTGATTTCTAATACCATTCTCCCATGAAAAGAACCCCAGTTTCCTGGGAAAATGACTGATTCTAGAACTGAGACAGAGAACACACAAAATGAGGCTGGAGCATGTTGTGTGAGAAAGTAAGAAAGTCCTCAAAAGAAAAAAAATCATTGTTGGGGGTATGCAAAGGTACAGACTGAAAGAGCTCTCAGAGGCCAATGCTAGACAAATTCATGCAACAAAATAAATAAAATATTTTTGGGTAACCCAAAGTACAAAGAAAATATTCATGAGACATCTTGACATAAATGCTTAAATCAATCAATAGAAGAGAAGAAACAAGTCTCTTGTGCAGAATAATTCCAAGTAATTTATGTAGATTTTCTGCCCTCAAGGAGGTTCAGCATAACTCATCAGTCCTTCAGTGAGGACTGGACCTAAATAACCATAGCCATGATGACATGTCAGGACAGTTAGTTCTTTTTCAACCTAATTTGGCAAGAGCCCAAATCATTCTCATCTGTTTCCCATGGCTTTACGGAGTAAAAAAATAAAATTCTAAATACGAGTTTCTTCTCTGCCATCACTATTAGCATAACTAATACATACCCCATATACCCTACATGCAATGCTTCAAAGAGGGTTTTTCCCTGGGAGCTTCTATGGTAGGGAATTTCATTCTCACCATTTTACAATCCAGGAAAGTAAGGTGTGGGTTAGTGACACTCGTTGCAAGGTAACTCAGATATTAAGTAGTTGATTTGTGGTTTTCTGGTGGAGGGCAGACCTACCTGTCCCCAGTTGCTCCCCACGTGGGTTAGGATACTGAGACCAGTGTTGAGATTGTTGATCCAAAAATGCACCTAAAATGTATGTAACGGTTTATTAGTCACAAAATGGGACTTTTGGGGGACAGCAGGATTGTTCCTGGTACCAATGGAGCCCATGGCTTGAGTGGGGCAGAGGGTGGGGGATAGAGGGAGGGCACCCTTGCCTCTGATTGCTAATGGGAGGCGGGCCGGGTGGGCTCCAGTGCACAGGTCCTGGTGTGCATGGCTCAACTCCCTACAGTGCTGAGGGAGGTGATGCTGGATTTTCTTACCGGAGCAGGTGAGGGGTGGGGCTTGAAAGGGAGGGGCCAACCATTAAAAATGCAATCAGATTCTGTATCACAGCAGTGATGTAGAACATTAAACTCAGCTCTTGGGACTCCGAAACCACTAGGGGGTTTCTACCCCGCAGCAGCTGCCGTATACAACACGGTCATGGAGATGCACACAGACCACATGCAGGCAACGTCTTGCACTTTGAATATTACTCACCACTGTGATTCCTGGGCTGCATCACTCCTCACTAGTGAGCCTGTCTCCTAGGCACACTGGAGATGATCAAAGTCCCTATATTGTAGGACTGTCCTGAGAAGTAAATGAGACAAAATAACAGAGATGCTTAACTTAGAGCCTACTGTGTTGTAAATGAATAAACATGGAACTCAGTTAATTATTATTCACTCAACAGCATCAGTCTATTTTCCTACCCACAGGGTTCTGCATCCAACCTCAGGCAAAGGTGCAAGTCATGGGGTTTTCCCAGTGAGTAGAATGGCTTGATGGAGGTGTCAACTCTACACCATGGCTGGGGAATATGGATGAGTAATCTGCTTAGCAGGACTTTACTGAACATTTTGTGTTTGTTTTGTTTTGTTTTTGTAATTGTGTGTGCCAGGCACCATTCTAGGTGCCACAGACACAGCGTGAATCAAGATAGGCAAGATTCCTGCCTTGTGCAGTGTACATCCAAATGGGACGAGTCAGTGATGCCCATGTTCACAAATAAATAAGCAAGGTGGCTTAAAACATTATCAGTTTGCTGTCTTATACTTTTAGAGGTCAGAGTCTAGAAATTGGTCTGTGTGGCTGAAATGAAGCTATCAGCAGGGCCGTGTTCCTGTTGCAGGCTCCAGAGGAACATCTACTCCTGGCTCTGTGTTCCTGTCGGAGGCTCCAGGGGACAGCCTACTCCTAGCTGTCTTTTCCAGTTTCCAGAGGCCACCTGCAGTCCTTTCCTTAGGTCCCTCTGCCAGCAATCCTGACACTCCAACCTCTGCTGTTGTGGTCACCTCTCCTCTGACTCTGACCCTCAATCCTTCTCCTTATTAGAAAACATGATTACACGGGACTCACACAGATAATTTTGGGTAATCTCCCAATTCAAGGCACTGAATCACATCTGCAAAGTCCCTTTGTACAAAGTAACATGTTCACCAGCTCCAGGGATTAGCATATGGACCTTTTTTAGGAGGCCCTACTACGCTTGCGTATTGCACAACTTTGTATATTAAACCAATGAAAACTGAGTTCAAATCAAAGAGCACACATTCAAATGGCCTACAATCACCAGGAAGATCAGATACATGGGTCAAAAGGAAGAGGCATAGCAATGGAAATTCACATTAATTTGCTCAAAGTGCCGTAACAAAGCCCCACAGACTGGGTGGCTTAAACAGCATAAATGCATTTCCTCACAGTTCTGGAGGCTGGAAGATCTGAGGTCAAGGTGTCTGCAGGGTGGCTTTCTTCTGAGGCCTCTCTCCTTGGCTTGTAGGTGGCCGTCTTCTCCCTGTGTCCTCACATAGCCTACTCGGTGTCTGTGCCCTAATCTCCTTTTCCTTCTTTTTTTCTTTTTCTTTTCTTTCTTTCTTTTTCTTTTCTTTTTTTTTTTTTTTTGAGATGGAGTCTCACTCTGTTGTCTGGGCTGGAGTGCAGTGGTGCGATCTCGGCTCACTACAACCTCCGCCTCCGAGGTTCAAGTGATTCTCCTGCCTCAGCCTCCGGAGTTTACAGGCACCTGCCATCACACCCAGCTTTTTTTTTTTTTTTTTTTTTTTTTTTTTTTTGGGTTTTTAGTAGAGATGGGGTTTCACCATGTTGGCCAGGCTGGTCTCAAACTCCTGACCTCAGGTGATCAATCCACTGGCCTCAGCCTCCCAAACTGCTGGGGTTACAGGTGTGAGCCACCGTGTCTGGTCCTAATCTCCGCTTCTTATAAAGACATCAGTCAGATTGGATTAGGACCTGCCATAACAACCTCATTTTTACTAAATTATGACTGCTCTAAAGACCCTATCTCCACACACAGTTACATTCTGATGTCCCGAAGGTGAGAAGTTGAACATACGTATTATGAGCACACACAATCCAGCTCAAGACAGAACCCAGAGCAGCAGAGTGGGCTGCAGTGACAGGAGGAGCAACTGCTCTGTCTAAGGGGGTGACAGCTCCAGCCAGGGGTCACCCCATAGAAATGTGGGCTCCTGAGACATAATAGTCTCCTGGATTTTCAACAGAAGTCCAATGAAGTTTTCATTTTGTTTGTTTTGTGTATGTTCTTGTTTACTGTTTAAATAAGCCATCCTGGATTAACAACCTGCATACCCAGAATCTCTCTTACCCCTCTGGACACACTGTGGGAGAAGGGAGGGGGCTTCTCTTCTCCTGCTTTGTCTCACCTCCCTTGCATCCAGAGTGGTGATGAGTTATGGAGGGAGAAGACAGAAGATGTAACAAAGAGGCTACCTGTCTAGGACTGACATGAGATGGTGCAGGTACTCTCTGGGCAGGGCACGTGTTGAAAGGAGCTGTTTTTGCAAAACATCTCCATCCAAAAAAAGGAGTATGAGGGTACCACCCTTGACTCTTCCAGCTCCTACATTGGACTTTGACTTCCATGAGGGCAGCACAGGCTTGACTTTTGACTCTAACTCCTGTACAAGGCCAAGCCACAGACACAAGTCAGTTGATACCTGTTAAATTTATGAATAAGTCAAAGAAATGCCTTGGAAAGAGAAATATGTTCTACCAGGAAATAACCCTGAGAAACCTTGCAGGTCTGCAAGTGTGCTGAGGCTGCCGGGCCTCTGGGACTTCAGTCAAAGCACCCAGATGAGTGGGCGGCACCCTCTGCCTGCTGTATCTTGATGACAATGAGAAGGATGATCTCAGTTTCCTCTCTGAGCAAGAGAACCACAGATTTTAAAGGATCCGGCAATCTGTGTTGAGAAACCACCTACGAATGACTTGTTTTCATTGGTCTATATAGGAGTATCAAGAGCTCTTCAATTTCTTCCATAATTTCATCAGGATCCACTAATGAGAAAGACAGCTGAACCAAGAGATGGGAATTGCAGTCAACAAAATCAGAGAAAAGGAAAAGCTCTTTGATTTACTCACATTTTTTCCTTCCTTTTTCTGCAGTCTTATTTGAATGGGGAAAGCTAGCTCATGACTATTTCAATTCTGCCAAAACCTGAGAATGATGCCAAAATCCAACCGACAATATATTAACAAGATACAACTCTAAGGAAAGGTTGGCAGCACAATTACATGCACAAAGAGTAAGCAAATGCTAGCCTTTCTGTCTAATTGTCGCATGAGACAACATTCCACAGTTTCAGGCACATGCAAGTTACTTCAGGAATCAAAGTCCACTAAGGAAGACTGGGGATTTGTGATGTAATAGGAAACATTTCCAAGCCTTCATTACAGAGCCAGGGAAAACTGAGATTCCTCAAGCATCATGAAATGAGATCTTCCCCGAGTCTAAGAAGAGCCCACTAGAGAGGCATTATAGGTGTTTATGACTCTCTAGGACGCCAGGCAGGATTCAGGCTATAACCCCGGAGGCTGGTGAGGAACCTACAAACACGGGAGCCCTCAGAGCTGGGGCCAGCTCCTTCCCCATGACTTTCTCCAGGTAAATCCTCTGTGCACCTAAGGCCTGAAAGGCTCACAATAGGGTTAAAATAAAATCTCTCTTTCAGTGACGGGGTTGAATCTTCAAATGCCTGGTGATGCCTAAAACATACACAAACTTATTTGCAAGTAAGCACAAGTTAGAATGAACAGCCACTGCAGCACCCCAACACAGTACAATAAAGAATATTTCTGCTTCTGAAACAAAGGTGGGAAGTGGATTTCTTGCAATAATAAATTCGTTACTACGTGTTCATCCAGAGAACCAGACCCACCAAGAGCCACTGGCTGCAGGCCTAAGCATTCTCTGGATCTGTTTTAATGCAAATGAAATCTATCTTTTTTATTTTAAAAACAACATTGGAGTCATAGAAGAAAAATAAGAAAAGTTTCTCCTACAAGTGAAGTTTACTATTCATTTCTACCTCTTTTTCTGTCTAAAGTGTTCCATGCTGCCCTCACGGAAGTCAAAGTTGAGTGAAGGAACTGGATGAGTCAACATTGGTGTCCTCATCTAATCTCAGCCATTTAGGAATACAGGTGATTAAAGGCAGCTTCCTGGCCAGGCGCAGTGGCTCACGCCTGTAATCCCAGCACATTGGGTGGCCAGGCGGAGGATTGCAAGGTCAGGAGATCAAGACCATCCTGGCCAACATGGTGAAACCCTGTCTCTACTAAAAGTACAAAAATTAGCAGGGCGTAGTGGTGCATGCCTGTAGTTCCAGCTACTCGGGAGGCTGAGGCAAGAGAATCACTTGAACCTGGGAGGCAGAGGTTGCAGTGAGCCGAGATTGCACCACTGCACTCCAGCCTGGGGACAGAGTGAGACACAGTTTCAAAGAAAAATAAAAAAGCAGCTTCCCTTTCCTCAGCTCAGAGGTGGATCAATGATCAATGTACAGGAACAAATAAAATATGTAAAGACAAATACAGTTTTTATTATTTTCTGGGGAAAAGTTCAGTCTCTAGGCTAATGGAGTCAGTGTTTCCATAGCCAACCAAGGATGGCCAGTCTTGGGGCTGTACCTAATTAGCATAGGATGTCGGGCTGCTGTTGACCACCAAAGTCTCAGAACAGAGCTGCCCTGCTGCAGAGGCAGAGGATAGAGAGAGGATGAAGTTATGGGCAGGTAAGTAGCATATTCTTTTCTATCTGAAGGGGACCAGATAAAATTGCTTGGACTTTACTAACTAAATGTTTTATGATAGAGAAAACAAGCAGATTTTTTTTTCTCAGTAAGAGCCCGGTGTTACTTAAGATGGTTGTCTCTATTGAATGGAAGGGAAAGAGAGAGAGAGTGAGAGAGAGAGGGAGGAAGAGAAAGAAGTGAGAGAGGGAGGGGGGGAGAGAGAGAGAGAGAGAGAAGAGAAACAATGCAAATCCCCAATAGATCATCGTATGCACTCATTTTATCTCCAGTTGTCTGTGTTTTGTGGCAATTATTAAAGTTTCTCTGTATTCCCAATGCCCTTTTTTGAACTGTTATTACAATGTTACTAAATCACTTATTATTATTATTATTATTATTATTTGAAATGGAGTCTCACTCTGTCACCCAGGCCAGAGTGCAGTGGTGCAATCTCATCTCACTGCAACCTCTGCCTCTTGTGTTTAAGCGATTCCTGGCCTCAGCCTCCAGAGTAGCTGGGATTACAGGTGCCTG